CGATCATTGGGTGTTCAAATTATTTGGATTCATACCAATTATACTTGTATACTGACCCGTTTTGTCTCTTGGCATCTGGTTCTGAGTGTTCTGATTTGAAGCAACAGCAAACTTCCTTTGCAGGATTTAATTGAGGCACTTACGGTGGTGACGAGAAATAACTATAGTTGTTGGAACAGTCGTTTGCGACTTCTTTTGTTTTCTTGGACTTAGAATGATATAGTTGTAGTGTTCATTATTATTTTTTATGACATTTAATATTTGATAATTGGACATGAATTTGTAACTTTATATTATTTTGAATTGTTTTGATATTTATTGTTACTTTAATGTTAGATGATTATTAGATAGTTATAAAAATATGGTAGATGGTTGGTTGATGTTTGTTAGTTGTTTTTTTTTTTTTTTTTTTTTCTTTTTTTTTATATTCCCTTGTAATCTTTCTGAGCATGGAGATTTACTGAACCTTATGGAACTGAGAACGTTTAGATTTTGTGTTCACCCTTTAGGATTTATATTTGATGGAATAATTGATTGGAGTTTAGTCTAATTTAATATTAATTGTTCAAATTTGGGGCGTTGACAGCCCATTGGTTAGTCTTTTACAATTATGAGTGGAGAATAAAAAATTGAAAAAAAAAAAAAAAAGAGTAAGATTTTATGTTATTCGTATATATAATAATATATATTCAATATGATTTAATAATCTAAACTACTTTGATATCATGTAATGGCTAATAATTTATATGTATATTTAATATTTTTATATATCTATCAATATATATATATATATATATGTATAATTCAGATTTCGAGTTGTTCGGGTTGTTTGATGTCTTTGCGTAAACCCATCCAAATTTAATTCGGTCTTCTGAATTTTTGCCTCGTACTGAATTCAAAAATCTCTTGTCCAAGTTGCACCCCTATAACTTATCACATTTGTACCCCAAAAAAAATGGATGGCCTGTTTTTAAAACACATTGACCGTTAATTTTTTTGAAGATATTCTATAAAATGAAGAGGTTATGAATATCGGATCGACCTGATTTTTTTTATGGATAATATACACACAGGGTCTGGTAAAATAAACGGTTTGGATCATTAAAATAAGACCCGTAACGGATTCCACAGACCAAAACAATTTGGACTGGAGAAAAGCCAATCCCTTTTTCTCCAGTATGGTTTCTTTCCCTTCGCAAATCGCTTCCTAAATTTTTGCCTCGTACTGAATTCAAAAATATCTTGTCCAAGTTGCACCCCTATAATTTATCACATTGGTACCCAAAAAAAATGGATGGCCTGTTTTTAAAACACATTGACCGTTAATTTTTTTGAAGAAATTCTATAAAATGAAGAGGTTATGAATATCGGATCGACCTGATTTTTTTTATGGATAATATACACACAGGGTCTGGTAAAATAAACGGTTTGGATCATTAAAATAAGACCCGTAACGGATTCCACAGACCAAAACAATTTGGACTGGAGAAAAGCCAATCCCTTTTTCTCCAGTATGGTTTCTTTCCCTTCGCAAATCGCTTCTCAAATCTTTAATCTAAACACAATTTTAACAAAAAAAATTATTTCACCCAGTATGGTTTCTTAAAACCAGCCCATGGTTTGGCAGGCAGTAGCTCTTTCAACTTCTTAACAACACAGTATGGCAATGCAAGCAACAAATAGTATTTAGTAGATTGGTACAGTACAATACCTACTTGTTCAATGAGTATTGGTATAGTAGGCCTTGCTTAGGATTTTAATTTTTCAAGTAATTTACAAAACAATTGGGTGAGCTACCCCAATTAATGATTTTTGTTTTCATACTCAAAAAGGACACTAATAAATTTGTGTTGCTTACTCACATTAAGGACAATTCTGTTCTTCCAGTAACAAGTGGCAGTTCGGATTGATTCGATTTAATTTGATTTTGTTGAGTCATACCTTCAAAATTCAAGAAATGATTATTTGTCTCAAAAATTTTAAATTGTTTATATATTATAGAGTTTAATATTACACTTGAAGGTGTTAATTCATATGTTGTTGACTGCAAAAAAAAAAAAAAATTCTATATTTTCCTATGATTTATTATTTTAACTTTAAATGTAGATGAGTTTTACCTAAGGTAAACATTTAAATGAGAAAATCACATGGATTTTAGTTGAAAAAACAGAAGTAGCTTTAAAAGATTTATCGGACATATATAAAAAAATTTGGAGCAGGCAAATTAAAAAAAGTATAAGTTGAACAATATTTTTAGGATATATTACACTTTGCCCCTTAAAATTTGATCCATTTCTCACATTGACCTTTTAAGTTTGATTTTTTCTACTTTAGCCTTTCATGTTTGTAATCATTTCCACTTTGGTCTTTTAAATTGATATTTCCTACTTTGGCCCTTCATATTTGCAATCATTCCCACTCTACTCCTAAACTAACTTCCATCCAAAAAACTAATAGAATTTGCCACATCACCAACATATCAACTCCATGTGTGATATAAAAAATTCACTAAAGATACAAAAAATGAAAAATAAAAAACAAAAAAAATTTGGGTTGTGTTTGGTAAAGCTTTTCAATCACAATTTCACCCCTTCACGTGAACAAAGCGTTTGGAAGGGGTTTTCAAAAATTAATTCCATCACACATTTCAAAATACATTTCTGTTTCACGTTTGGCAAAACTCCTTCCAAAACAAACTTCCAAGCCAAAGATCTCACCTTTTCATACAATTTTTGAATTTTTGAGTCTATCCGGTCGTCCCTCTGGACATCCTCTTGAATGTTTGGCCGGTTGACCACTATAGTGAATATATATATATATATATATTTTGTGGCAATTGCCAATCTTTCCTACATACATGTATGTGTTTGTGCTATTGTAGACTAATTTTTTGTTGATTTTTCTTTCATAATTTGTAAATTTATTGGGTTTTGATTACTGGGTTTTTTTTTTTTGAATGTTCGATTTTTGTCTGTTGTGTTCTTCTTTATGATATTCATAAATTTCTCTCAAAATATATGTAGGTTCTATATACAACTCATTGATTTTCTGTTCAACTGAATTGAGGCTTGCTGTTAAACTGGATGGCTAGGTGGATCCAGTTGACCGACCGAAAGACCCCCTGGTTGACTTGCTGGTCAACCGGTGCTGAGCAGCTGGAAAAGGCTTCGATTTTTGCTCTTAAGCTCTGACTCTTATCAAAACAGCTTTATTTGGTCTTCTTGTTTTACACCAATGTCATCTACCAATATATAGAGTGAATTTGTAAATTATGACACTAATTATGAAGATGGTAAAGTTGTTCGTTGTTCAGTCTCTGATATAAAAGTTGGTGTTGAACAGATGATATAAATGACGAAGTACATGAAGGATGCATTTCCCACGAAATTGATAAAAATTAGCAAAAAAAAAATTCAAATAAAATTGAATTATGTGTGGTAAACTGTTTAGATGCTGACAAAATGATATTGTAATTTTTTTTTTTTTGACTCCAACGTGGATAATAACTGATAATTTTTTTCGCCATTTATTTGAAAATAATAATACAATAAATTGCAAATAATTTGTGACAGTAATTATTAAAAATATAAAAATATTTTAACTAAAAAAAAATTCGAACCAAATATACAATCAAAATTTATTTTAAATCAGTAATTGAATATTTATTTTGAAAAAAAAAATTTATTTCCTTTGTAATATTTTCAATTAGAAAATTGATTGATGTTATTTTCTTTTAATAATTAATTTTTTTAATTGAATTTTAAAAAGAGTTTGCTTATGAGTGTTGATCAGAATTTTCAATAGAGTTTTAAATAGTGTGTTTAGTTATGAGTTATAACAATTTGAATTAAGTTTTGAAAACTTTTTTCAAAACTTATAACCAAACTAATTAATTTTCTTATATCACATGTCACGTCAAGCATTAAAAACTCAATTCAATACTCAACTCAAAACTCAATTCAAAACTCCGAACCAAACAAATTTTCTACGCTCAAATCATAATTCCAAAACTCACAAACTCAAAATACAATTCTAGTATCAAATCATATCTAGAAAACTCTACCAAATGCTACCTGAAATTTTTTTTTTTTGTCTTTAGAGTTCACTAAAGATGAAAAAAAAATAATAGTAAACTTTTCATTTCAGAATTGACAATACATGTGTTTGAGTCAGTATATTTTCATTTTTTTTTGTCTTTAGTAAACTTTTTATTTTTTTAGTTAAATTTGTTTTTATTTTTTTAGGTGCATCTAAGCTAGATGCATCTGTAATGTATTAATATTTATGAATAAATTTGAAAAAATAAATTACTACAGAATTAAAAAAAAAAATCTAATTTTTTTGTTTTTTTATTTTTCATTTTTTGCATCTTTAGTGAATTTTTTACATCACACACGGAGTTGATATGATGATGATGTGGTAGATTCTGTTAATTTTTTGAATAGAAATTAGTCTAGAAGTAAACTATAAACGATTGCAAACATGAAGGGTCAACGTAGGAGAGATTACAAACATGAAGGGTCAAAATGAGAAAAATCAAATTTAAATGATCAAAATAGAAAGGATTTAAAAAAGAAAGATCAAAGTGAGAAAGATTACAAACATAAAGAATTAAAGTGAAAAAATCAAACTTAAAAAGTCAAAATAAAAAATAAATGAAACTTTAGAGGGACAAATTGTAATTTATCCATATTTTTAAAAAATTTGAGGGGCGCTGCCTGTAACTGTCCCAGTTGTGAGAGTGAGACCAACATAATCATTTTTATTTGTTTGTTTTGTGTATATAATTAATCATTTTACTAATTTTTGTCAGTTGATATCAGCCAACTACCAAGAGTTGTTTATTGCTTAAAGCAAAATCCACAGCGAAAGCAATCTTCACTTCTTCTGCTAATTATTTTGTTTTCATATTTTATTATTTTTTAAAAATTAATCAATTGCTGTCAAAAACCCAAAATCCCAAAAACAAAGAAAAGAATGAAAGGTGGGTCCAAAACAAGTATAAACAAACACTCCACTTTATATACTTTACAAATGGGTACATGTAGTATACAACTGATCCAACTTTGCTCCTTCAAAATAATAAACAAACCTCATGTGATGAAATGATATGCAGGGATGAGATGGAAAAAGAGAAGTTACTTGCCCTTTCTTTTCCTTCTCCAAAAAAAAAAAAAATTTAAGAAAACTAAAGACCACCCAGTACACAAAACTCCCGTTAACGTAGGATTGAGAAAGGTAGATATACGCAACATTACACAAATTTACCGAGAGATTATTTCTGTGACTTGAACCCGTGCACCAAGAACGCTAACGGAAAGTTTTACCAGTAGACTAAGCCACCCTTTATCATTCTCCAAAAATAAAAATAAAATGTGAAAAAAATAAGTAATTAAAGATTTTCCTAGTCCTAACTGTCTAATAATTAATAAACTAGGGCTATGTACCTGGCACTGGAATGAGAAAGATAGATATACGCAACATTACACAAATTTACTGAGAGATTATTTCTGTGACTTGAACCCGTGCACCAAGAACGCTAACGGAAAGTTTTACCAGTAGACTAAGCCACCCTTTATCATTCTCCAAAAATAAAAATAAAATGTGAAAAAAATAAGTAATTAAAGATTTTCCTAGTCCTAACTGTCTAATAATTAATAAACTAGGGCTATGTACCTGGCACTGGAATCTTTGTTGGATCGCACCAGCTTTGCAAGCCAGGCATTTTTTGTTCGTCTCACAAGTCAAAACATACAAATGACAGGGTGGCTTCACTTCACTAACCTACACACACATACACTCATCATCCTCCTTTCCCTCAAAAGGCATAGATGGACACTAACCCACAAAAATTTGGGCACAAAAAACCAGAAGAAAAAAAACAAAAAAAACAAAAAAAAACAAAAAACAAAGTTGGGTAGACTTCCAATTTATAGTCCACCAAGATGACCAAAACATGCATCAGGAGCTTCCCTCTCCATCAAGGGACTACCTTTCTTCAAGACTCAAAATTATCATTTTTTTTTCATTTGATCATCGCGGTCTTTGTGTTCTTCTGTATTAAGACCACATTCCAAGAACACAAACTGCATATACAAAAATTCACACAAATCCAATCAGGAAATGAAGCTAGAATTTTAAAACTCAAGTCCTACGATGAGTACATAACATTTCTAACAAAAGGGTATGCAAAATTTACCTATTTTCTTGCTGGGACATGATGGTTGTGCACAATATATGTCATACTTGAGCAGTATCGCCAAAATTCCTCAGCCGGAGCTCCACATTCCTTAGATCGCGAAGATGTTGTAAAATCTCTTGAAGAAGATCCATTCCCTTGTCCCCCTTCTTCAAGGAGCTCATGCAATGCTTTAGGAATTCTCTGTCTGCCTCAAGAGCTTGTAACCTCTCATAGAGATGATCCACCTCCTCTTCAACAAGCTTCTTGTTCTCCAACTCGTTTCTTTTCACACAAGGACTTTTCAAGATATCATAATCATACCCATTTACATGTCCATTCTCTACAAAAGTGTCTCCATTTTCTGTACTAATCGCATCAAAAAGTGGTAGAAGGGTCTTTCCCTTTGCACCCATGATATGATGTTTCCCATTCATTTGCTTGGAAAAACCATTTGCATTTGCAATCCCATTTACTCCTTCACCACCAAAACCCAAGTCCCCGTTTCCATTCTCTTCGTAGAAATGCTCAATTGGCTTTATGTCCTCAAAATGTTGTTCCTCTTCATCAGACAATGTAAAAAGCTTCTCTTCCAAAACCTTGAGTCGCTCTAGAATAGACAACCTCTCTTCCTCAAAGTTAGCCAATGATTCTTCCAAATTCAAAACTTCATCAATTGGCGTGTTGTGGTTTCCATTTTCTCGATCAAACCTATCTTCCTCTTTTGCCTCTTGATTTAAGTCAATAGATAGCCCATCACTATCCCCAACACTGCTAGAAGAAGCAGAGCAACTTTCACTTCTTGCGATACAATCCTTGCTTTTTCTCAACATTCTCATCTTCTCTTTGCCCTCGTACTCCAAAACCTTCTTTCTATACACTTCCAATCCTTTCTCTAGCTCTTGCTTTTCCTTTTCTCTCTTCACCATGAGCTCATTCAAAAGCTGCAAAGCTTCTTGATCGTACTCGGACTGTTCTTCCATCATTCTCTGGTACTGCAAAGCTTCCATTTGCATTGCAGCCTTCTCTTCTTGAAGCCTATTGATCATCGCCATAGTCTGGCTAGCTGCAACTGCAGAGGAACTTCTCTCCTCTTCAAGTTCCGCGTATAAAGCATGCAAAGCTTTTCTCTCAGATCTTAATGCCGATTTCAAGTGTTCAATACTCGTAACTCCGTCACCACTCTCAAACTCGCTTATGACACTTCCATCCAAAGACTCTTCAGTACCCAATTCTCTTTTCTCGAGGAGTAACAATTTCTTGTGCAAGTGATGGAGATTTTCTATCGAAGTGGGTGTATCGGGAACTTTCTCTTCCTCAATCTCATTAAGCTCTGAACCAAGAGAAATTTCATTGTTCATCACAATCTCTCTCACCTCAATTGATATTGTTTTCAACTCAACTGACTCTTCCTCAGCTTGCTTAGAACCTAAAACAAAAACATTAAGATCAGCCCCACATTTTGTCCTACTTGGATATTCAGAGTAACAACTCATCACTGAATAATTTTTTTATTTTTTTATAGTTCTTCTACTTACACAGAAACGAACTAGACACAAACAACTCTCACATGGTTATGGGACTCATAAAATTACTGAGACGTGCCTCATGTGAGAGGCATGTGTCTGGTTTTGTGATCGGTTTTTGGTTTATAGACTTTCTCATTTTTTTTAAGTACGTTGGAGGCCATAGCCTTGGGGGCAAGGTGGACTCGAGCCATTGACCTTATAGTGAGGTGCAACAATTATCGTCAACTAGGCTAGCCCAAGTTGATTATTGAATAAAAATTGTACTTTTAAAAGGCTGTGAGAGGCTGACCTTGACTTTCATCCATCTGGAAAACAGCCGAACTGATAGAAGGATCTTCATTTATGCAAAGGATTTCTTGATTTTGAATCTCATCTGTTGGTTCTAGATCAGGAATTTCAGTTCCTATTGACACCTCTGCTTCAATTTCATTGACTGGCATTTGAAACACTTCTTCTGTGACTGCATTTATAGGGCAATTGTTTAATATTTAAATCAAAATTTAACATAAAAAGAATAAAAGAAAAACAAAAATTCTGGGTTTTTGGAAAAATTTGGAAAAACAACCAAACATAACCTAAGTACCTGGAGGAACATCTGAATCCCTTTCTTCTGCATCTGCTTCAACATGTTCATATACCTCCCTCACAAAATCACATTCTTTGGCATGAAATATAAGAGAATTATCATTCTCTTCTATTTCCATGGATTCAAACACTGCAAATTTGGCTTCCTCTTCCATCTCATTGGCAGAGAGTTCTGCCTCTCTTTCTCCTAATCTGGACCTATTCAAGTTCTCACCAACTGATTCAACTCGTGCTTCATCGCGTGACTCGGATTCCAAATTCTCTTCTCGATTGTCAAAATTCACATCATCTTCTTCCTTACTTCTGTACGTACTCCGATTTTCCTCCATTGTCGAATCGATCAATTCAACTGGAATCAACCGATAACCACCATGACCAACAAAGAATTCCAGATGCTGAGGAGGAATTTCAACAGATTCATCTTCTCTGGTAAAAATCTGATTCAGGGCCTCACCAGAAGACGGATCCTCCATTATCACAACTGAATTGTCTTCCTTAATGGGTTCTTTCTCAGATTCCAAAGCCATAACTACTCTGTCAATTTCATCGCCATCCAATTCTCCCAATCCAGAGTTTGATACAGAAACAGAGCAATCCACATCTTCCTCATGATCTCTCACACCACAAAGCATCTGACTTTCATCGTTTTCCTCAATCGCATGATCATCTTGGCATCGATCGATCACAAAATCTGATCCGCTTCGATCCGAATTATCACCTTCTTCAATCTGATCGTCGTCATCATTCAAATCTACTTTCTGGGTATACTCCAAAACACCCCAAGAAGGCTTAATCACAATATAAGGAGAGTAAATTTTGCTATGAAAATTCACACCACAACAAGAACACTTGAAGCCCACATCACCATTCTCATCACTGACCTTATCTCCTTCATTCTCTATCATTCCAATCTCTTTAACCCATGGAAAGAAACTTAAATTCTTCGAAGCCCCACGATAGTCCGGTCTCGAGGATGAGCAATCCTCACACATTTCTTGCGATTCAGCCAATTTCCGATGATTAGAGCAATAACCCAATTTGGAAATCTCTGCGGCATGAGCTTCACAGAGAAGATCTCTGTGTGAATTCTTGTTCTTTCCAGGCTCGAAGATGTGATCGAGACGAGAACACCAGAGGCAGGGTGTTTTGAGACCAAAGTAATCTGCAAATCTGATAATCAGATAAGAAAATAGAGAGTTGAGGAGGAGAAGAACTATCAGAATCCATTCAAGGACTGCGTAGATGAGAATGACAGTCAATTTGTTGCTGTTTCTATGCAACATGGTTGCAAATTTGTTGGCAGCCATGTTGATGCTCTGTTTCTTGGTATATACAGGGGACCAGAGAGAAAGAGAGATACAACAAAAAAATGGCTTAGTTTGTAGAGAGAGAGAGAGAGAGAGAGAGAGAGAGAG